TATTTGCTCCCTTAGTGTACTTGGCTGTGGCTGAGAAGTTATATCATAACTTTGCTCCTTGTTAGCTCTATAACATATATGATGTTCTTATAGCACATACAAATGTATACATAGAAATACGGCAGACAATATATTTCTACATATGTATTTGTATGGGCTGTAAGAAATGTCCATATATATAATAGAGCTAATGGAGCAAAGTTATGATAACTTATTAGCCACAGCCAAACACCTTGAGGGAGTTTGGGCCCACTGGCTTGGGACCACAGTTGCAGGGGACATAAAGCTCAATTGGCATAACATACTACACAAAAGCATTGTTCTGTCCTATTTTGGTGAATAGACTGGGGTCTTTAAAGCTTGCAAGCAGCCATCTAAGATGCAACAATTGTTCTCTCTTCATCCAGAGCAAAGACAAATGAAGAAAACCAAAGATGGATGGAAATAATATAAGGGATTACTGGACCATGTGTACCTCAGCCTATATGATGCTGAGACCAGAAGAACTTGATGGTGCCCAGCTACCACTGTCAACCACTTGAAAAGGGATCAGTGCAGGAGATCCTAGATAGAGTGGGAAAAAATGTGGAACAAAACTCAATTATAAAAAGGACCAGATTTACTGGTCTGAGACTGGTGAAACCCTTGAGACTATGGCTCCTATTCACCCTTCAGGCCTGGAATTGAACTCACTACCCTGGCTTCCACCCTAACAACATAGATATATAAGGTGAACATTTACACCAGGTAGGTAGGTACATGCCTTAGAACAATCAACCATGGGAGATCAGAAGGGCAGTATTTGCACAGGGAGAGAGCTCAGAGGGCAGAAATCCACAGAAAAGGGCACGAGGCAAAGATAATCACAGGGAAGAAGTGAGAAGAGAGCTGTTTCATTATGGGGATTGCAGTCAGTGTCATGAAATAAAATGTGTATGAACTGTTGAATGGAAAATTAATGTGCTCTGTAAACTTTCACCCACATCACACACACACATACACACACAAAGCTGGAGTGTTTACGTGTGCCAACCCCAACCTCTTAATGTTTTGTTCTATTTCCAGCCAGTACTTATGGAGCTTTGGTTTTTAACACGCCAACTAAAGAAGTCCTGTTAGAATGCAATTTGGCAAGATCCTTCGAGATCTTAACAATGTCTGGAAGCTTTGGCCCATAATCCCACTTCCAGGAATCTCTCCTAATGAGAAAGCTCATGTGCACAGAGACTTTCTTTAGAGTCCTTTACAATTTTTAAAATAACAGCAAAAATTGAAATGCAACTTAACTGATTACCTTAGGGAAATAAAAGATACATCCACTTAATAGACTATTTTGCAGCTTTTAAGTATTCCTGAGAGTCCCTGGGTACTGCAAGTGGCCAACACACTAAGCTACTAACTGAAAGGTTGGTGGTTCAAGTCCACACAGAGGTGGTTGGAAGAAAGGCCTAGAGATGTACTTTGGAAAAATCAGCCACTGAAAACCCCATGGAGCACAGTTCTACTCTGACACACATGGGGTCACCATAAGAGTTGACTTGATGGAACTGGCTTTTTATTTAAGTACTCCTGAAGAGAAAGTGCCTATAAACTAAGTTACAAAAAGGATATGGTATGGTGAGATTGATTCTTAGTTGGGTTAGAGGATCTGTGGTGACATTTTAAATTTCTCTTTTCCCAATGTGCAATACTTTTGTGTTTTGCAGTGGCCAGTCCTTTAATCCTGAGCAGGTAGAATCACTGCTTTACCACAAGTCATCAGAACTGTCCTTGGTTCACTTGGTAAGCTTACAAAAAAGAGCTGGAGTACCTGTTTTTGCCACCACAACTGAAGGCACTAATACTAAGGTATTTAGGTCCTAGGCCAAAACCATCATTGGTTTGGGCCAGGCAGATGGACTGGCATCATCCTGATGATAAAGGACAGTGAGTGAACTCAGCACTGGCTTATCACACAGCTAGCAAAGCCTGGGCCTGGGCCAGCCCTGCCAAAGAGAAAGTCCTGCCCAAATGGTCGTTTTAGTTCTGCTCTGGTGAGAAACAAAAGTTGTGGAGGTTCGCCTTGGGTAGGTGACACAAACACAAACATCTTTTTTCTCCCTTTTAATCTGGGCCTAACACAGCCTTCACTGGCATGGATTCAATAAGGTTAATACGAAACAGGCACTGAGTTTACAAAACTGAGAAAACTATATGCAGAAGAAAACTAAAACCCATTAATTTTTCTATCCCAGTTCTTACCTTATTGAAACTATGGCATGTGGGGGAATTCAGAGCTTCCCAAAGCAAGGAGGCTCTGCAGAAGACTGTCTCCGGTGGGCTCTGAGTGTCCCACCCTTTACCAGAGCTCAGACTGGCATCGCTACTGGACCCATCCTAACCCTTGGTGGGCCATAGGTCTGGCAGTTCTCAGGACTCACAATGAACCTGGTTAAGCGAGGGAGCAGCAAGGCACAGACCCTCTGCCATCGGCAGTGGTGAGCACCGCCAACCAGCACTTCATTCCCAAACCCTGCAAAGTAAGCTGGAGATCCCATTTGTATTGATGAGAACACTACAGGTTCTAGCCAACCCTCTACTACCATTAAAGCCACTTAGAGCACTCTGCAGGTCAAGGCCAAGTGCTCTTCCTGAACTGTGGCATCAGTGGTGCCTGCAGTCTCTGCCCCTTTGATCCTCTGCCTCCAAGTCAGCCTGTCTCAATGCCTCCAATGGCAGCACACATACTGCTTCCCAGTGAAGCCACACCTCCCAGAAGAATGACAGCCCCTTAGTGAGTGAAGACTGCGAGCCTGCTCCCCTTTCTCTGCTTGTCCTGCAGGCTGTCAAAGGGAGAAGGAAGTGACTTAATAAAGTGGATGGAGAGGAAAAGAGAAGCAGGAATGTAAATGACACAGCTGTGGTGGCCACACCACAAGGACACATGGTTTTAGGTCCACCCTGGGGCTCCGTAGGGGAGCTCTGTGGCATAGCACATAGGCATTTGACTGCTAACCAGTAGGCTGGCAGTTCAAACCCACCAGCTACTCCTCAGAAGGAAGGTTGAGCAATCTATTTCCATAGTGATACTGCCTCAGAAACCCAAGGAGGGATCACTATGAGTTGGATCTGACTTGATGGCAGTTGAGTTTGGTTTCTTTTGGCTGCAGGGAGCTGCAGCCATGACAGACCTCCTTAGTCATCTGTGGTGTTGGAGGAAGTGAACTTGTCATGTACTTGCTTCACACCTGCTTTTCCCATCTGTGCAAGCAGAGGTAAAGAAGTAGAGAAATACCCTTCTCCTGAGAGTTGAACACAAGTGGCTGGAAGACTTGGGAGCAGCTCCCTGTCCCAGAAAGCTGGTAGCCACACCAAGGACCCAGGATGTCATCCTACTAAGGCAAGCTATCACATCAGGAGGAATCTTCTAGTATTCTCATTCCAAAAACATTCCACCTACTTTTCTAGTAAAACCCTACCACATCCTTGCTGACCCCAAACCCTGGTCAGGCTGCCAGGCTGAGCCATAGGACTTTCAGAAAACACCATACAGCCATGTATGATGATGCCACCTGCTCCTCCCCACCACGACTCACATGTATGCAAGGATTGTGTCCTTTTATTCTTGTTCTTTGAGATACTGCTTTGTTTCAGCAGGAAGGGCATCAGAGACATGGAGTCACCTAAGCAGGAAGGTGGACTCTTTCTCATGTAGCAAACCCTCCCCCACACAACCCCCACCAGGCTCCAAGACAGCAGACACCCAAGTCAAACCAGACATCAGCTGAGAGTAATTCACTGTGGCATGCGAGTAGGCCAGTTCTACACACCTGGCCTCTCCCCTCCGGGCAGGTGGAGTAGCAGCACTACAGTGGAGTCTCTTTAGCTCAGGGTGAGGTGACCAGTAACAATTCTATCAGCCTTTCAAGGAAGAGGCTCTCCAGGGAACTCTGCTGCCCAAGGAGATAGGGTGCCTAGTTGGGGGAAAAGGCATACAGAGCTGGAGCACAGAGCTCAAAAGACCACCACACACACACATACACACCTGTGGAAAACACCTGTGGTAGTTATGTTTGTGTGTCAACTGGGCTGGGCCTGGTTGAGTGGCTGGGCACCTGGTGGTAGTTATTCTCCATGATGAGACTGGCAATTAACTCCAGGGTGGGATCTACCACAAGCAGCTAAGTAGCTGCCTTTGGGATGTGGCCTGCCTGTACATAAGGAGAAGCCTTGGGGATAGTGTAGCTTATGGATGTAGCCGTGTCGTTGCTCAGTAGTCTGCCATGCTTTGCTGACCTTGGGACTTAAAATGGACTTAAATTAATAGCCTGCCACATGGTTTGGTAACATCGGGAGTGTGCCTTTTTACTTGTCAACCTTGGGTTGTCAGCCTCAGCAGCCAGTAGCTGCCTGAGTGAAGAGATGCCTCTAGCTTCAGTGTGCCAGGAGCAAGAGGCAGAGCTGAAGCCCAAGGCTGAGGGGCTTTCACACAGCCCCTAGAGCCTGGCACTTTGAACTTGGACTTAAAGCCTCCAAATTGTAAGAGAATAAACTCCTTTTTGTTAAGGCCATCCCATTTGTGGTATATTCTTGTCAGAGTGGCACTAGGTACCAGAATAACACCATTCTTTAAATAGCCAAAAACTTTATCCCAGGAGCACTAAGCATAGTCCTTGGGCAACAGAACAAACAAGTAACACTCAATAACTGGCACCAGAAGCCCTACCAAGTGTTGGTAGAAAAAATGGAGCTGATCCTTCTACCCCTGCTGGGTGGCAGAGGCCACACTACATCAGTAGGTTCACTGCTGGTGATGACACACTGAGCCCAAGGGCAGCTGGGGTGAGCCTGGGCAAGCACAGGTACCAGCACCCCAAACACTCTGGGTGGGTCCAGGCAGCTAAGCACCTACTACCTCCATGTGCTCAGGAAATGTTTCCTCTTTTTCTAGCTGAAAGCAAGAGAAAAGTGCTCTCTGTACGACTCACCAGCATCAGAACCCGTGCCAGTCACACCATTCCTCAGAGCAGTAACTCAGGGGCCTGCAGGCCACTATACAACACATAACCAATGCCATCAATCTCCTCCTCACGGAAGGTGCCAAAGAGGTTCACACTGGGGTTGAAGTGGCATAGCAGGCTGGCCTGCTCCAGGCCACTGATGAGCTCCTCCAGGGCCTGCAGGAAGCGTGACCCCAGCGCCTCCTCAGCCCAGTCCACCTCTTGCTCCCCCAGGTGCAGAACCACTTGAGTGAGGTGACCCCGGCTCAGCTGCCCCAGAGCTGGGTGACGGTGGCAGATAACACACAGCAGTCGCAGAAGTCGCTGACGGGTGCCAGCGTCTTGGTCATCCAGGGCCCGTAGCCTGTTGGCCTCAGCCTGGTAGAAGTCCTGCAGCCAAAGCTTCCCGGCCAGCCCCTCCAGAGGCCAGGCCAGGAGGACATGGTCATTGACACCAGCACCAGCCATGGCAGGAAGCACGGCAATGGTGAGCTCCAAATGTTCCTGCTGTACCTCAAGCAGCAGCAGCTCAGAGGTCACGCTGGGTCGGACCAGGCACCCAAGAAGGCTGCCAATGGCTGGCCAGTTGACAGAGGTGGTAAGTGCCTTGCGGAGCAACTCCAGTAGAAGCTGGGCACACAGGTAGCCACCCACCAGGAAGCGGTCCCAGGGGCTGCTCCCACGGGGACAGAACTCCAGTTGGGTCCGGCGCACAGCCCAGCAACGAGTGTCTCTGGCCACAGTGTCGGCCCCTGGCACCAAGCCCCACAGGTCCGGCTCCAGTCGTAGTGGCACAAGGAGACGCACAGGGTCAGCAGCACCAGCGTGTAACCCATCAAAGAGCGGCCCACCAGGCTCAAGGACCCCAAAGGGCAGTTCTGGGAACTTGCTTCGCAGGAAGGCCTGAAGTTCGAGGCTGATGTCACGGGCCAGCTGCTGGGCCACAGTCACATCAACTGCTGGGACAGACACGTGGTCCCGCTCAAATGCCAGCAGCTTCTCCTGGAAGGTCAGGCACAACTCTACTGGAGAGCCATGTTGAGGTAACATACAAGGATCAGCCTCTCCAGGCCCCTCTGCAAAGCAAAGGGGTCAGGGAAATATGTTAGCATACCCACTATAGGTCAGATGCAGCATGTTAAAGGGCCTCCACCCAGTCACTAGCTACATGACACCTTGGGCCTTGTTTTGCTTACCTGTAAAGTGGGGATCACAGCAAGGGCCTCACAGCTAGTGATGACAAGTTCTCATCGTCCCCAACTCCAACCACCCTTGCCCTACAGTTAAGACATTTTCCTGCAGAATTGGGGGATGTGGGTTTTGGCTTCATCCCCGGACAGGTCCTACCCTCTCTAGACCTCAGTTTCCCCATCTGAGGCTTCCCCCAGGTTCTCAAAACCCTACCATAATGCTGCCACTTCACTCCCTCACTCCAGTACTAAGAGGTAGAAGGAGAAATATAACTCCCTTCCACATTAGAGGGGCAATGCCCTGTCTGGGGTCACACAGGAGCCAATGGTGGAGTTTGGACTGAACTCAAGGAACTTGTTTATATTGAGTCTCCCAGATATGGCCACCAGAGGTGTGTCACTTACCTGGGGCAGTGGCCAAGGGGGCCAGGGTAGACAAATGCTGACTGAGGACAGCAGGCAGGGGCTGTGGCTGTGGGCGTGGCGTGGCCTTGAGCAGGCTCATCTCTTTCCAGCCATCCTCCATGCACGTGGCGTCACCCTTGGCATCGTCTTCTTCATCCCGTGGGCTGGTGGCTTTGTCAATGAGCTACAAGCAGAGTGACACAGATCAGAGCATCTGAGGCCTGGGCTACATGGAGTTTACGGCGAAACAAAGCCTAGTGGCACAGTAAGCCAGGTCATCTTGGGGGTGGGGGATGAGGAGCTGAGACCCTGCCCAGCCATGTGTCTTCCTCTGTAGGCCCACAGGTAACCCTACCAGCCTTACCCGCTTCACAGCCAGGGTGGCAATACCCAGCACAGCAGCTGCGCCCATGCCCAGCACTAGGCGGGCATTGGCCAACAGGAAGTCCACAGCACTGCCCAGCACAGCGTCGTCATGCCGCTTTCCCTGCTTCTGGGAGAACTCTGCCATGATCAGCCTGTAGGAGAGCAAGGGGGTTATGTAACTCCAGCGGGAAGCCAGGCTCATCTGGGGCAGGAGGGGCAGGGAGCATAGGCCCCTAAGCCAGGGTTGAGCTCATGGGGAGGGCTTCTGGGAATTTCTCAGTAGAAAGACAACTTGCATGGTTTCTTGGGAGGAGATGAGGGAGTTGTCCAAGCCCCTCCCCCAAACCTGCAAACAAACTGCCTTCTGGAAAAGGTGGCTCACAGAGGCCCTGAGGCAGGTCAGAGGAGGAAGCCCATCACCCACTCACCTACCTAGACCCAGGACATTACCAAACATCTCTGGGGAGGGTCATATCATCACCACCATTTACAAACCCAGTGGGAAGTGGGGATGTGGACCCATACCAGAAAATCCTTCAGCCTCTTACCCGCCCCAGAGTCTGGTCAGTCCTGTTCCACAGCCTGAGGCTGCCTCATCCCAAGGTTCCTAACCAGGGCTTCACAACAGCCCTCTGATCTCCAGTTCACTCTGTGTGCCAAAGCCCAGAGGATACCAGAGACTGGGGGTCCCAGGCAGCCTGAGACTGACTGCCCAGGGACTCTCAGACCTTGGGTGGAAGCTCAGGGGGTCACAGTTAAACCCCCAAATCTTGCAAAGGTAGCCCCTGGACAGTGACATGGCCCAGGCTGGCAGATATCTGCCTGTAAATGGACAGGTGCAAGTTGAGGCTGAAGATCCCACTCCCAGGAAGCAGCAAGTAGGGTAGCTCCAAAGGTGAAGCTTTCAGAGGACTGGCCCAGTATCTCCAGATAGAGGGCTCTCTGGGCCTTTCAGGCTTGGGACAATGGGGGAGGGGGAGGAGCAAAGAAGTCAAGCAACAAAAACAATCAAGGTCCCAGCCTGTCTCCTTAGTTGTCAAATAGCACAGGCAGGGCAAGGAAAGAAAAGTGATGAGACCTGGAAGCAAGGGTCAGGAAGTGGGAGATGCAAGCAGAGGTGTCTCCAGAGGCCCAGCCCACCATGGTCTCAGGTTCTAGGAGGGGAAATTCTGCACTTAGGCCCTGCCCACTAACAAGAGAGCTGAAACGCAGTGGTGACCAGGGGGCATATTTAGGAGCCTGGGCTCCATCAAGAGGGTTATAGTAAGTTTGACGAGGCCAGGGCCGAGGACCGAGTCACAGCCAGCTCAGCCACCACAGACTTCTGTCCTCCCTGCCCTACTACAGGTGCCTGGGGCTCAGTCGCAGGGTGAGTAGATGCCAGAGCAGCTGATGCTCCAAGCCAGTCATGACTCAGGCCCCGACACCTGCCCATCCTGACTAAAAATAGAACAAGGGGACTCCGGGGCCTGGAGAGGCCCGCCATGGTCAGCAGCCGTTGACACGAAGTCCAGGAACCCACTCTGCAAACTGTAAAGCACATTAATTACTTCCACCAATCTATAGTGGGAGTCTGCCCAGCCCCTGGTGGAGTCGCGCAGCTCCAACCTGTAGCCTTCCAACTCCACGAGGGGGATCCCACTCTGCGCAGCCCGGGGCTTGGAGGGCCGGAAACGCCGCCTGTCGAGTTATGGCACTGCTGACTCGTGGGGAAACTGAGGCCCCGGGAAGGGGAACAGCCTAAGGTAAGGACATAACCTGGACCAGAACTCTGGTCGGAGCCCTTCTCCGCTCCCCGCTGCGGGCACAGGCCACGCCCCAAACCGTGTCCAAGCACAAGCCACACCCGACTAGGTGACTGGGCCGTCCGCCGCGCTAGGCCCCGGAGCCCCGGCCCGCTTGGGATGGAACGTGAAGAACCCAGCACCAGAACACCGAGACCCTGGGAGGCCATAACCCTTCCAGGGCACGTAGACGAGCAGGCCGTACTCCCAATCAGAGCACGCAGGGCTCTAATCACGTTCCAAAATACTTCTTGGCTCAACCAATAACAGGCCGGTCGCGCCCCCTCGTTGCCGACGTTCTCCCTGGGAGGGGCGGGACACCGCCGACGCACCCCTAATTTAAAGGGGCAGGAAAAACCGTATTCCCGGTCCGCAGCAGGTGGTGAATTTGCGACTTTTTATCGCGCGGTTCAGCCGATCTGGAGGCAGGTGGTGACACGGTTGTGATTGTGTCGGGAGCGTCCAGTGTTGAGAGGTCATCGGGGCCGGGCAAACACTCCTGGGGCCACAGCCAGACTCCTTTCATTTGATCCCCTTAGGCCGGATCCCCTGGAGCAGGCCTTAGTGGCTTTATTAATATTACTTGTTAGCTCACCTGGCACTGTGTGGCGAGAGAGCTCAACCCTGCCACCTACCTTGTGTGACCTCACATGGGCCATTGCTTCACTCAGGCCTCAGTTTTCTCTTCTGTGAATTGGCTATACGAGACTCATAATAACACCCTTGTAATCCCTTGGCAAATACTTATTAGACCTCGTGAACCACATAGTCCAAGATGTTAGCCTCCTTTCTGGAACTTGCATTGCGCGTGGGGTTGGGGCAACTAAGCACATAAATGATCAGTGAAGTGGGTGTTGAGTGTCAGCAGGAATACTAATGACGGGCCACTTATTGAGCGCCTGCAGTTTTCAGCAAGCTATACGTGGATTTGCTCAGAAAGCACTTTACAGGGCTCTATACCGAGGGCCAAAGTCTCAGTACCCAGTCGGCCACGTCCCCGGGCTTGGGTCTAGACTCTCTCTTAGGGTCACTGCAGCAGCCCAGGAGACAATACCTGGCCCTCCAGGGCCCTGACACCTGCCCCTACACCCGGACACCGACCATCATAGCTCCTGCGGAGAGCCTGGGGCGGCTTTCCGGCAGGCGCTGGCGGGTTAAAGGGGCGGGGCAGGCCTGGGACAGCTAGGTCCGCCTTCCGTCCGCCTGCCGCGCCGCCGGCCGCTGAGAGAGAGGCGCCATGGAAGCTACTGGGGTGCTTCCGTTCGTGCGAGGCGTGGACTTGAGCGGCAATGACTTCAAGGTGAGCGGGGATGGTACCCTGCACAGCTAGGCCTGCCGGCCTGCGCTTGCTTTCTGTCCGCTGCGGACCTGCCTGCAGCTGGGGTGGGGCTCTCTGCGCCCGGCGGGAGGCCGACTTCAGGCCTCCGCGCGGGCCCGACGGGGCAAACCTAGGCCGGGAAGGACGGACGACGACCAGGGAGCAGGAGACGCTCACGCCCGGAGTCATCCCAGGGAGAAGGGGACTCTATCCGGGAGCCCCTCCTAGGGCCCCGTTCCGGTAGTTTGGGCCCCGCCCAGCCGCCGCCTCAGCACCCCCACCTCCGCCCCTCTGAGGTCACACACCCAAGTCAGGCCCTGATTCATGCCTGAGCTGCTTTGTCCCCGCCACTTCCACCTCATCCTCTGTGGTCTTGGGCAGGTTGCTTTTCTGCTTGTTCTCTGCTTAGAGCCACCGATCCAGACAAGGGGCTTAACAGTAGCACTCTGCTTCCCCAGGGAAGTTGTGAGGATTAACGTGTCAAGGAGGTGTGCCAGGTCCTGGGAGGGGTTGTCTGATCTGCTCCCCAAAAAACCCAACCCCACCCCCACTCCCCGCTCGGGAGTGGGGCTTCAGTGAGCTACTGTTGGAATGGTAGAGGAGGGGACCAAGGAAGGATCCATTTTGGCAGCCTTGGGCTGCAGGATCTAAGCCCAAGGAGGCAGGCTCTTCCTGTATCTATCCCACATGTACAAACCTTCTACTCCATGCACAATTGGCCATCCCATTACTTTCTGTCTCCATCTTCACCTTTCTCACCAGGGATCTCCATGTGTTCTCTGAGTCACTAGGGAGTGTGGTCATAGTGGGAAGGAGATGCCAGCTATGGGCAGTGAGGGCACATACTGCCCTCACCCCTGTCCCAGGGCCAGGAATGCTGAAGGACACTCAGCACCTCAGCCTTGTGTAGAATGAATGAATGTATGAATGAATGCATTTATTTGTGTGGGATGGGAAGCTGGGCCCTGGATGGCCTTGGGGGCACAGCCCGGGCCTGGAATGCTGGCAAAGAAATGTGGGCCATGCTAACACAAAACTTATGCTGGCCAGGCCCTATGTTGGCTGCTGAAGGTGTCACCTGCAACAAACCTGTTCTCTCAGGGCCCTCCTGGGCCTCAGAGTCCAGTGGGAGAGCTGCATTTGGGACCACTCTAATAATTAGTCTATCCTCAGAACACTTGTTATATAGATTTTATTATTATTATTATTATTAGCCCTATATGATGGGTAAGGAAATTGAGGCACAGATTGGAAAAGTGACTTGTCCAGAGTTACACAACTGGTGAGTGTGGGCTCTGTTGGTTCTCAGAGGCTCCCCTGAACAGTGGGAGCTGCAGAGGGTTGTGGAGCTGAAGCACCAGAAGGGAGTGCTCTCTTCTCCCAGCCCAGCCCACAATTACATCTCCTTACACCAGGGTGGCTACTTTCCTGAGAATGTCAAGGCCATGACCAGCCTGCGATGGCTGAAGCTGAACCGCACAGGCCTCTGCTACCTGCCAGAGGAGCTTGCTGCCCTGCAGAAGCTGGTAAGGAGCTTCAGGTGGGCAGGGAGGGTCTGTAGGGATAAGACTAGGCCAGATGAGCAGAGGCTATGCAGAGAGCAGCTGACACAGAAAGAACATTCTGACAGCTGTGATCAGAGGTGGCAGGTAGGGAGTGAGTGTGCTGACCCAGGAGGTATACAAGAAAAGATTGGGCCTGTGAGGGAGGGCGACTGTAGAACTGCAGAGGTAGACTGGGTCTGTGTGGCAGAAGGCCCTTCCAAATAGAACAAGGTTATGGTTGGGGACAAGGACCTTGTAGTCATCCTACCCACCCCATTGAACTCCTGTTATTCTGTCCTGGCCCAGGAACACTTGTCTGTGAGCCACAACAACCTGACCACGCTTCATGGGGAGCTGTCCAGCCTGCCATCACTGCGGGTGAGTGCTGGCAGGAAGGCCACTGGCCTTGTGGATGGGGGGTGGAATCCTGCCGGAAGAAGGAGAGCAGGTCCAGATCCCAGGCCAGGCCAGCATCTCTGCCATCCTCATGTCAGGCTCC